GTGGTACATTCCCAGACATTTCGCCGGCATCGTCAGTGAGTTTCACCATTCGTAGCACTATATTACAACTCGTCTATTGTTAGCCCATTAGCTCTAGTCTCCATCGCAAAGCCTATGACTTCCTATGCCCTAGTCTCTTGTGTGCCAAATGTTGTGGTTTTACTTGTTCTGATTTGGCTTACTATAGACTTCTCCTCTTGGCTTCTGATTATTCCTTTCTGGTCTCCTTGTGATTTCTTTTCCTAAAATTATCTTTTACCTCAATCCATTCGTCTTCTTTTTGAAAATCTTACTGTTGCCTGGTCTCCCATGAGTTTGTTTAGGCATTATGCAAAGTTTTCTCTGATCCTGCCTTCTTCAAGTCTCCTGTTCATATGTTTTTTCGCTTAATATATCGATGACCTCTCGGATCTTGCGTTTTCTCGTACTTTCACCACATGCAGCCAGCCTTTCTGACGATTTCCAGTCGATTTTGTGTCCCGTTCATGCAATCTTCTCCGCTATTTAGCATCTTTCCATATCGATGTTTTGGCAGAGTCTTTGATGTTCTTTGATTTGTGGGCCGATTTTTCTTACCGCTTCACTGATATACTTCTGTTCACAGTATCCGCATTTGATGTTATAAACTCCCGAGCAATTCATTTTGTCAGTCTTCTCGTGTTACGTCAACAGGCTGCTGAAAGTTTTATCTTTGTTATCACCTTGATATTTCATTTTCTTAGTAACGGTGGCAATCTTTGGCCCAATCAACAGGAAGACAATCAACCGCTTTTGGTCGTCCTGGTTCCTGATTGGCTTTTCATAAAACCTGAGTTAGAATCTGCTCTTTGTAACCTCTACATTTTTTAATATAAAATCTTTAGGGTAGCAGTTACTAAGGCAAATCCATGTCAGTTTGTTCAACTCCTAATCCCAGAACTAAGTGTTCTTTAATCGTAAGCATCTGATGCACAAACTCTTCATTATTCCGTTCTTCAGTTTGTAGTTACGTTGAGACGGAAAATTAAGGATTATTTCTGCATATGAATTCTCTCTTCATAGTCTCTTCATGAGTATCCCGTTAGAGCGCATGACTTTAATATGCAGAAAGGGTAGTCGTTCATCCTCCACTTCCATTATGAATTTAATTATTTCATCAAATTGGTTAATTAAATTGAGGAATTTATTTAAATTTTCCTTACCATCGTGAATAGCCCATGGAAAAAGGAGAGATATCACAATTATTTAGCGGACAATTCGCCAAAGGATCGACTTCACTTGTATCTTTGACGAGTTGTAGTATGGTGTTAAGACTAGAAACGCTTGCTGACGATGCCGGTGGCACGTCTGGGAACGTACCACGTCGATGGTCCGACTAAAGATTTTCATGCACACTATGGACTCTGAACTAGGTGCATTACTCTAGGTCTTCCTATCAATATGATCAAGTTGCGAAAGCAAGGTCAAACAACATATATACAATGAAAGGAGACTGATACCATACAAAAGGCCACACCATCTTGGTTCTTATATTTTCGATAAATGTAGATAGTTGATAAAGTTGAGAGGATGGTTGAAGCGATTCATGATGCATATTCAAATCTTGCTCTCTTTTATTCTAGAGTAAATTGAATGAAAAGTCGCGTTTCAAATAAGCTCTTGTAATGCTAGTGATTTCTTCCAGCGAATTTAATCTATCCTTTCCATTTAAATGATTCACTTGCCTCATGAATGTTGTGTCTTCTGATGGGTTCAAGTCAATGGCACCTACTGGATAGGCTTATGCTGAAATTTGCTGGTTAGTTCAAACATGAATTTTTACAATTCGTGGAATGTGTATACCGTTCAGTTTCAAGAACGTGAATCTCTTTTTTCTCATTTTGAATGCATCATTGACTTTTTTCTCTAATTAATTTTTGTTAACATCTGAATTGAATTCTTTTTGCATACTCTCGAATACATGTGTACACTTACTCCAAATTTTCACAAACGCATTTGTATTTTCTTCAGATTGATGCAGCAGCAGGCAATTTAAAATCAGCCGACTCTTGTCTGGCGCAGAAATCTTATCGAATAGATCTTAAACCGGTCATTGTTTCCCGTAAAGAGGAATGCCTTGCTGAAAGATCAATGGATATCGAGAAAATAGTCGCCAATTTATTAGAGTCATCTCAAGCCGAGGACGATGAGATCGAAGATGATGAAGGGAATGAAGAGTTCACCGAAATACCAGTGTTAATGGAAAAGGATACAGAGCAAAAAAATTGTCCATCTAAGGAATTGCTAAATGAGGCCCACTCGGACATCGATGCCGAAGTCCAAAAACCCTTTCCTGGATTCTCTGCAGGAGTCCACGTCCGTGTGTGTAACACCATTGATGCTGGCGACCAATTGCCAGTGGACATTGAAGATTTGTCTGGATTCAAAAGTCAAGTTGCCTACTTTCCTGGTGCTATTATCGATATCGTCTAGCTCCCAGCGTCATCCTTTTGGCTTTTTATAGTTCATTCTCTATTTTATTTCACCATTCATAACATAAGGGCGTCATTGCTGTACAAGTATTGACCCTTTTTGCTCATTTAATTAGCATAAATTGCATCCAC